TTAGAGGGAGAACAAAAGTTGGCACATCCGGAACAGCAATCAAAAGGCGCACTCAGTACGTTGCAGACAGAAGTTGCGAGCAGCACTACAGAGACACAAAGTCTCAAGCACCCATCCGCAGAAAAAGCAGTTGAGAAAGCCGAAGATCTCACGAAGACGACCACGACGAACAAACCTCCTGCCCAGACGACTATCACGACCACCACTACGACAAACGCACCAACCACGACTACCACTGCGCCAGAGGCACCAAGTATTACGACTACGGAGGCGCCAACCACGACGACAACCCGTGCACCGTCACTTCTTCACAGAATCGACGGCAGCCTCAGCAGCTCTGTGTGGGTGTGTGCCCCGCTGCTTCTCGCCGCATCCGCGCTGGCGTACACCGCTGTGGGCTGAAGAGGTGCATGCGGGCTGTGCGTGCCAGCACTCCAAGCCACGGGGACATGTGTACGTCTACTGTGGTCCGATGTAAATAAAAGAAAATAATGATTGTGTTTTTGTTTTGTTTGCTTCGGCTGCCCTGTTGTGTGCTCCGCGTTGCTGCTCCCTGTATCCGTCACGTGGAACGCATCGCAGACACACTCATATGCACGACACGCGTACAACTGTTTGCGTGGACGCACTGTTGAGAGAGGGTGCATGCACACTGGAGCCCTTTGGGCGCAGGTTTTGTGTGTTTTTACTGCTTTAATTTATTGCTGTTTGTTTACTCTTTTTTTTTTTTTTTTTTTTTTTGCCTGTTTTTCTTGTTAAATTATTGCGGGGTGTTGTGTTTCGTTTGTTTTTTTATTTTTATTTTTGGCGCCTTCATCGGTTCAATGTTTCTCATGAAATGCATGCTGCTGCCGCTGGTGTTTTTTACTGTGCCACTCTTCTTTCCTTTGCTCTGCGTTGACGGGGTGTTAGTTTGTGCTGAAGGCTACACGCAAGTGACAGGAGTGATGGCGATGATGATGACTGGCCGTGTGCTGCTGGTGTGTGCCCTCTGCGTGCTGTGGTGCGGTGGCGGCGTTTTTGCTGAGGATCCTGCACCTGATGCCGGTGTCTCCGGTCATTCTGCAAGTATTGTTGGAGGTTTGCAGGAAATAACACAAAATGGACCGTCATTACTGGGGGAACCAAGCTCGGAAACCGTAACACCAAAAGTCGAGGGAGGAGCACCACTTGGATCCGCAGTAGAACTTCCGGGAAGAAGCGAGCAAGAAGTTGATGCGCTAGAAGGTGAAGATTTGAGTGATAAAAGTTTAGATAAGGAAATATCAAAAGATAAAAACGCGCAACTTTCTTCCGGTCCACCTGCTGACAACAACAGTTCCCCTACCGGAGTGGGTAATGCTGGTGGCAGTGGCCTTCCGTCCTCAGGTGCCTCTGGGGACTTAACGGATTCTACTGATGACCGCGCTGGAGGGGCAGGGAATGTTGGACACATAAAACCACCAGCAGAACTCACTCCGCCGCATCCACCGGAACCGAATTCAAAAGGAGGTCGTGCACCACCTGCTGTACCAAACCTCAATACATCAGGGAGCCAAGGGAAGATTGCGGCACAAGGACAACCATCGGCGAAGCAGGAAACATCGCTCGCCACTCAGCCGCAAGTGTCCGGGATGCGTCCGCCACCACAGGATGAAAAACAGAGCGGGGGGGAAATAGAAAATTCGCCAGAGCCAGGAGAGGCTCCAGCAACCTCTGATACCACGCTCGTTACGAGCTCCGGAACTGAAGGCCAAATCCCTCAGTCATCCTCACCTCGGTCTGGAAGTGACAATGTTACTCATCAAAGTGAACAGCACCCTGAGGCGCCACTCGGCAATACTCAGCAGGATGATGCCGCAGTGGCCGATGAGGAGCGTCGTCGTGGAGAAACTGGTGGTATTCCGACAGACTCTCATCGAGGTCCAGAAGCGGCAGCAGCGACCAACGCCAATGCAAAAGTTGCGCCACCTACTGAGGGCAGTGACGGCAGCACCGCGGTCTCCCACACCACCTCCCCTCTTTTGCTTCTTCTTGTTGTTGCGTGTGCGGCTGCGGCTGCGGTGGTGGCCGCGTGAGAGT